TAGCACGAGACGTGATTAGGGGCGGGAATCATCACTACAGCTTCCTAACCACCATGTTTGAATGAACATTACATGGGCGCGTGATGAGATAGGATAGAAAAAAAAAACATGCGAAAAAGAGGAAAAAAGGAATAGAAGAATCTGGACTAACATGGATCAGGAAACCCGTGCAGTCTTGATATTCCTGGTACTTCGTTGGAATGGCCCAAACAAAAAGCATTTTTCAGAATCGCATGATGACACTGGAAGAGCTGCATCGGTTGCGTGAGTTACGAGAAGCATACGAGCGTGAGGAAGGTGAGAAGCCAATTCGTGCCGAAATTGATGAGATGGATCGAATGAACGTTGAGTTACCGGTAACGAAGAAGCACGATACTGCTGATAGAACTACACATCTGAATAAAAATGAAGATCGCGATAGTAGACATGTGCATAGCAGACATATCGTGGTAAGTTCAGATAATGATTTTTCAGTAGAATTTTGATAGAAAAGCACTGCAGCGAGATTTTCTAGTGCCGTTGTGAGAGAATAAAAAATTCAAGCTATTTTAAGACTAGATTGATAAGATCTAACTGATTGTCTTTATCTGATTTTTGGAGAATTTTTTTTTTAATCTAATTTAAGGTTAAGTGAAAATTTCGGCGAAAAATGTTAAAATGGATGATGGAAAAGGTAGTTGTGCATGTATCCGAAAGAAATCTTTCAAAAATGGGGTTTAAAGAAAGTAACATATAGAGATGTTGGGTTGCCTGGGCCCGGGCTCCTCAGTCGACTGGCCGGGTGCTGTGGCCCGTCAAGTCGGCTCGTCGACATACTGGGGGTAGGCACGAGGTCCTCGTTCTTCGTACTTCCTGATCGGCGTGCTTCACGGGGTCATACGGGTCGGTTGACAACACTGGACAGGAGTAACACTACTCCTTCAGGCAGACACCGCGCTGGATACAATAATGCCGGATATAATACTCCTTACAATACAGGTATGGCAACCTTATATAGGCCGCTTTCGCGCCAGTGCACGACCTACCTAGGAAGGGGGTCATGATACAACAGAGGCATTACTTTTGTATATTGTGACGCTGATATTAGCCATGACAAGCGATCTTCGAGGAATTTTACCTCGCCGAAAGGAAGTGCTTTTCGTGTTTTTGCTCGAAAAACTTAGGAGAAATTTTTTAGCGAAAGTCGCCGGTACGAGTGGAGAGGCATTTCACTGAAGAAAAGAGTCGCCGAGATCGACTACAAAATGATGAGGAAACGAGGCATTCACGAAGAGAAGAAAAAACTAGAGGCAAAGACAAATCTAAAGAGGAGAAACAGACAAAGGTAGGGACTTTAGAAAACGTAATGCACGTATGTTTGAGATGCTTGAAACGGCCGCTAGTTAATAATTTGATCTCTAGCAACGCTAATGCAGCTGTAGTGAATCAGATAGGCCCGGATCTTTGTCTTTTTTTTTTGGCAAATTTCCCGATTATGTTGATCAACGTTGCATCGCTTGATGATCAACCAAGTGGTGACGTTTTTTTTTTTGGAATTAAGGTATTGCCATGTGATAAACACGAAATCAAGCAATAAATTTCTCGTTATGGCTAGAATTGTAATTTAAATTTTAGATGATGTGCGTTTATGTAAAAAGTAAGGGTTTGAAAGTAAGGGAATAAAAAGGAATGTGAATAAGTTAAATCGGA